GGGGAATATGCAGAAGATTGAAAGGTGAGAATCAATTTGCACATTTTAATTTAGGTATGACTCTCTGCAAATCTTTGTTCTACCATTCATTTCCAACAAATTGAAGAATTTTTTAGGAATGAAAATGCATTTATATAAATTCCCTAAAAAAAAAAAACCATATAGTAGTGCTTATATATAATTTCCCTTCCCCATGATTTTCAAGTAATGAATTTTTCTTTCTGTTTTTTCAATGGATCAGGAAGCCAATTCATTCAACCAATCTATTGCTTTTCGTTCCAGGCTTCGAAGGATGTCCTTTCTACTACTCGTGTTGTGTGGATTGTTTTAGTGTGATTCTTGTGTTTTCATACTGTGTGAATTAGTTGTGTTGAAAACTGGTTTAGAACACCATCTGTACTCTTATGTATTTTGCTGTATTGTTATATATCTTGGTTGTACCAGTACATACATAAATGTGTTTTCAATCTAATCTTTGATGAATTAGCTGGAGAGAAAGCAGGAATTCCAACCCACAACAATCAAATCACCAATTTATTGATTCTCTTGTTCGTCTTCTCTTTTGTTTTGTGATAGCTTCTTGTTCAACAGTACAGAACTACAAATGAAAAGGATGCAAATGTTGGCTTCTAAAGGTTTAGGCAAACTTTGCAAGCCAAGACATAAAGGTCGAGGATCCTCTCTCTTTATGTATATGTTTTCCTTTTTCCGAGAACAATGTCTATATATGTGTGTGTTGTTTAAATCTTTCATTCTCACTAACTGGCAGGGAAGCAGCTATGCTGATGGGGGGACACAAGACCAAGAAGTAGTAGTCTGTAACACTTCATCTCCACCATCACTGACTCCTTTAATCAATTTGGACGAGATTTTTTCTCCAACAGTTCATCTCACTTTTGATTACTATTTGGTCTAAAGTTTTGATTAATCTAATATTATCACCATTCCAAAAATGGGTGTCTTTGTAAACATCTTATCAGTCATTCAGTACCAAAAGGTCAAAAAGAAAAAAATCATTAATGAAAATGCACATATTGTTTTATTTATTTATTTTTTTCTTATGTGTAATGCTTTCCTCGTGATTGCTTACTATTGAACTGCGAAATGAGACGATGGGTAGAAGAAATTGATGGTATTTGCCAATATTTTTTTGTATTTAATTGTGTCAGGAAGTAGAGAAATCAGCATCTATCTTTTCAGGCTCTTCAAGAAATTTGGGTACTGCTCAAAACATGGAATTCACTATATATTCTGACTTTTAAGTGAGTTGATGTTCGGATCGTATATTTATTATATGAATCATGCTTGGATTTGAAATAAAAAGGATTCTGCATAATTATTCAGCTCAAGTATGCATGATTTTCACGTCAGTTTCTATAAACACCTTTTTTTTTTCCTTTCTGTTTTTACCAAAATGAAATATAAAATCACTCAGGTATTTTATAATTTATTAAGCATTAAGCATTCAAAGTACACCTGTAGTTTCAATCCAGCATAGGTGATGTTCTTCCGGCTGACAAGGCAGGACTCAAATGAGTAGTGGTGGTAGCTCTTACATATTTTACGCGTTTGGTGCAATATTTTAAATTTTGCTTGCTCATGTTCGGTATCATGTTGAATCTGATTATTCTTTACATTTCTAAAGTCCAAAGACATTAAATGAGTTTTGATTCTGCAGTTTTTCAGACATTGTGATTTTTTAAATCACATTACATCTTGCTCTTTTTCATTACTTGTACGCTCAAGCTTAATCTTATTTTTTTTCCATTTTTTTTTCAATTAAATTAACAAAGAAACATGCATCAAATATCTCATAGCAATTACTATTAAATTGCTCCATCCAATGCAAATGATGATGCATGTCTTTTATTTGGTCTTGTTTCTAAACCACTTTGCCCGTAGTCAAATAGATTTTGAAGTTATATAGGTTTATTAATTTTCAATGCAGTTTGACATGCATGATGTAGTTGTATTAGAAGTTAAAACCAAAGAAAGCTGATTAGGAGTCTCCTGCTCTTTGGCAAGGTGTAGTTTTTTGGCTAAAGGGAATTGAGACTTATAAAGGAAACTTTGGCTTATTACATTGTTGATTTTGTTGTTAAACTGATAGGAACAGATACTACACTGTTTATTATTGATTTTGTTGTTTCTAGTTATGTGTGATTCTCCTGAACTCGTGTTGCTGACTTCTTGTGCACATTGAACCGGATGAGATCCCAGAAGGAGGTTTAGACGGTCCCTTTCATGTAGAAAAGGTGGAGAATGTGGCAGCATTTATGTTGGCCAAAACAGAAGGTAGCATATATTAGGATTCTTCAATCAATTTTTTGCTTCATATTAGCTTTAACTGGTACATAATATGGAAAGCAGTTCTCTTGCACTTTCTGTATTTAAGTAAGCTTGAAAGGTGAGGATTCAAATGAATATTGGTGAGAACTCTTACATTTTTTATGGTTTTGGTGCTTTAGAATGTAGACCTTACGAAATTTATGCAGGTCAAACTTTGATTCACATATGTTGTCATATCTTGACAAGCATGAATGCAATAAACTTTGATTCTTTAATCAAATTTTATTAAAGACTTACTGAGTTACGGTTGTCAATTTGTATAAGGTTCATGATAGATCTGCTTCAGACGTGAAATAGAATAAAGAAGGATGAAGAAGACAGAAAAATGAATGAAGGTGCAGCTGAGGTTGATATTTCACATGGAAAGAGAATTACTGAAAGTGGAGTCCAAGGTTCTGATACTAGAGTTATTGCATGACCCATACACCGCACGAGCGTTAAAGACTGTACTGTGCTATAATCAGTTGCATTTTTTCTCTACTAACCAAATATCTTTTCTTCCTCTACTTCCATTCCTTTCACAAACTGACCAGTACATGATGTGGTTATATTGAAATCAAATAAGAGCTGAGTAGGATCCCATTCACTTTGGCAAGCAAGCTGAAGTTTACCTGCTAAAGTTGATTGCAACTTCAAACTTTGGGTTATTTCATTGTGGATTTTGATGTTTCTAGTTGTGTGATTTCCTTAACTCTTGTGCTGCTATAACTTCTTATGTGCATTGAGCAGGATTTCTCAATCACTGTTGCTTTCGATTGCATCCCAGAAGTAGGTTTAAATATTCCCTTAACCAGAAAAAGTGACAAATGAGGTATACCATTCAACTAATTCTTTGCTTCATATTGGTTTTAACCATTGCATAATATGGGCAACAATTCCTAAACATTGTATGCATTTCAGTACTATTGAATTATGCTTATTGTATCACAAAATGGCTTTTCAGTTACTGATTCAATGTGAAAAGTTCTAAGTATGGACTTTGGGAATCAGATAGAAGCCAGACTTTGATTCATTCTGCCACACCTTTAAAACTCTGAACCAGATGTAAGTCATAGAACTAGTAAGGAACACTCAGCGCCACATTTTCTTACCTAAGATTAATGGAATCTCTAATCCAATTCACTATTTTGTTTTAGAGATAGTGATCCAAATTAATTTATCTGTGCCAGTAACATGTCGTAGGAGGAAGGATGCATGCATTGATGCAGTTAATCAGTAAAAGTGTGCTAAAGTGACTCACTGTGGATCTAATCTGTCTCTTGTTTGGAGAGACACCCCCAACATTGACATTAATAAAATTGATTAAGGGGAGGTGCAGTAGAGCTGAGGTGGTTGAGTGGGGACCCTATTCCCTCATCCAGTCTTTTTCCAACTCTCTCCAGCTCGAAAGAAATCACCAAGGAGGAGAGTCCCGGCCTCTAGGTCTGTATCTGTTAGGGTTTTGAACATTTCTTGCACCATTCTTGGGTATGTATCTATTGTGTTGGTTTCGAATTTTGCTGTTTTGTGTGATTAGGGGTTTGACAAATAATGGTTTTCTTTTGCTTACTGCTAATTATCAATCTTTTCTTTTAACATTTCCTGCTTCGATCAAGTTTTCTTGAAATTGTTGATCAATGGCAGGAGTGGTAGAGGATGAAGGATCGTCTGAAGGAGATGAATGGATGGCTGGATGAAATGCGGGAAAGTGAGGAACTGAGAGTCGCCAACGATCCAGCAAAGGTTTGATCTTGTTTGACAGACATATTATTCATAATCCTTGCTACTATTTTGCTGGTTACCAAGAAAGTGGTAACAAGGAAAACGTAAATGTTTTGCAGGATGAGAAAGAAGGAGAAGAATTGAAGATGTTGTGTGGATGGAGAAAACAGGGGAATGTTTGGTGGTTCATTTCAAGTATCCCTGCGGCAAAGGCTATCAAATTCTTCTCTCTGGAGGCAAATGTTACTACAAACTCATGTAGGTTCATCTTTCAAATGTCATTTGAGGAAGTGATGCTGTTGTGAATCATTCCTTTAGACTGCTAATTTGGAGCCCCCATTAAATGTGCTAAAAACAAAAGTAAATTAAATTATACTGGGCCTTAAGGTTAAATTTTATTGGGCCTGCTTTATTTGGGGTTTTTTTTTAGGATTCAGTTGGTCTCAATTTTTAAATTGTTTAAAGATAATTCCTCTCCCATTTTTTTCTTAAAGAAAGTTGCCTTTTCCAAAGAAACTGTCCTCAAAGGATGTATTTGTTCTTCGTGGACCTCAAAGGTGTTAAGAAGCAATGTAGAAATCTTAACTTCTGATGTTTTCTAAGGTTGAGAGGAGGTCCTAAACTCCTAATTATTTTCATGCAGGTTCAATGAAACGCAACCAAAAAGGTACTCTAAGTGACTGTTTCAGCTCTTTCTTTCTTTTTCTTTTTGTTTTTTTTGGTTGACTTGACTAAAAATTAAAAAAATGTGACCAAGTGTACGATTCCATTTAGAGGAGCCTATCCTTGCCGTTGATATTAAGTTTTCAGTCCTGGTCTTTACCACGTGGATCAGTGGAATTGAAGTTCCAGCGGAATTGTCCACACCGACGCGTTTTCTTTTTTTTTTAGAATAGGTAGACGCGTTTTTAAGAATAAGTCAAGTAGAAAGCCATTAGTCACTGTTGATGTATAAAAATTAAGTAAAATTTTATCTTAAATTTTTAAATTTA